ATTTTCTGATTAAGTATAGTTATATAACTAGTTACTATGTTCCCTAGTTACTTTATACCCAAAAATGGAACACAAAATATACTATTGACTTCATTTGTTGATTGAAAACGTTTTCTATTTCTGTAGTTACTGGTAATGCGAAAAGTAATGAATAAAAAAAACAGACTTTTTATAATTTTTTGAATTGTGAAAGCAAAAGTGGAATAAAATGTGTGTTTTATACAAAAATATAAGCAATATATATCCACGATGTAGAAGATGAAGTGCCGTTCAAATAAAAATTCCAAAATGCATATACTGAATCTAAAGTAAGTTATGGTTTTGCGACACAATAAATACATACATAATTTTTCAACAAAATTATTCTACAGATTATCAATAGATGTCAATTGCGAAGCATTCAACAGATTGAGGGAACAAATAATTGTTTGAAATAGGTAAATATTCTCCAAAAATATAAGGTAGAAAATTTTCTACTTAAGACACCCATATCGTTAGTTATATTTTGCAATTTTCTATTCTGATGCTTCAATATTTCTTAGAGGGCAGACGTGAAAAACAGTCGAGAGACAAAAGAAATAGCAAAATGGCAATGTGAAAAATCAGGTATGATTAAGCTCAATATATATTGTACAACATAAATTATGAAATAAATAAAAAATATGTATTCAAAATAACTTTTATATTTTCAATTTTCCAAACTGTTATAATAGCTAATTTGCTATATATATATATATATATATGTAACTAGGAACAATACTAAGCAATGGTATCTAACGAAATTGCTGGTTACTGGTGGTTACAAAATAACTTTTATATTTTCAATTTTCCAAACTGTTATAATAGCTAATTTGCTATATATATATATAACTAGGAACTGGTTACTGGTAGGGTACAATTGACCGCAGGTAGGGGACAATTGACTTCCCCAATGACATACCCATGTTAAATTCAACAGTCTAGGGCATGATGTGGTAACTAGTGGTAGTTACAGGTAATTAGGAAAATAACTAGTTCATAACCAGTTACTCGAACTACTGGGTTTTGATTTGATGGAACAAGCCACCTTGAGAAAAAATTGTAATCAGTTGGTAGCTCTGCCCTACCTTGTAATAATTAGTCCTGATTTATATTAGGCGAGTTTACTAGCGGCAAATTTTATCGTTCTCTTTTGAACTTGCTTCATGCATCTATACAAGGCAATTCGGTTGCAAACATATATTTTCTGAAATGAATTATTTTTTCTGAAACGACACTACAAACAAAATACACAAAACGAATTGCCAGAAAATTGTTGGTACGAGCAATTTTTTCCATTTCTATTCCCCTTGCCCCTCTCTCCAGCAAACAAAGACTTGCCGCAGGTAAACTCGCCCAATCTTAATTGGGACTTATACCATGGGTACAATCAAGCAACTACAACAAGCACAATTAAAAAACAACCAAATAAAAAATTCTTAGTGTATTTAATACTAGTGTCACATTGAAATGACGAAAAATGTAAACAAACCACACGAGATATCAATAAATTTAATTTATTAAAAAATATATATTTAAATTTTAAAAATAAAATTGGAAAACATGTATGAAAATCTTGCAAATTTATAATTCTATCGCTTCCAGATATTACCTTCAATTGAGTCATTTCCATAGGTAGAGGTAACTCATACAAAAAACTAAGGATAGCGTTGAAAATTGCTATTTTGTATTGCAAAAGGATTTGCTGCTTCATATTTTCCCATTAGGAAATTGAGATAAATTATAAACCAAAGGTCAACGAACTTCTGTTGCGAGTTCTTGCATTTGAATATTTATAATTGTTAACGGGCGATTAGTACTCTTTCACAATTAATTAAAATTAAACGCCGATTCTATATTTTTCCGTCGTTTGCAGATTTGGAAATATGGCAATGAAAAATGTCAAACTTTAGACAAAATGGGGTTGTATTTTTTCTGGTTCCCCATATATTGTAAAGCTCAAATTGTATTATCGTATTCTTTATTTGTAATATGTTTACACCAGTTTCCTGCTGGGTCGTTCTACATAAATCAATAATATCATATCGAACTTGACGCGAGTATTACGATACAGTCCATGATGCAATAATAAGGTGACGTATCAAAACAAAAACATTTGTTTTTGTCTCGATTATCTGTCAAACTTTTCCATATAATATTTCAAATGGTTGACAACACTGCACATCGAATTCATGTAGAAATTACCCACTTTGACAGTTAATCAAGACATCAGCTGCGCTATTCATTGTGTCATGATACAATCTATGGTATAATTATGTTTCCAATTTTTCATAAATTTCCAATTTTTCCCTTTGACAGTATTGAGCTTTCAATATTAATCAGTGCAAATATTGGTAAATAATTTATATTTATATATATTTTGAAGTTCACTGCCACTAAAACTTTTAAATAACTAAGTTGTAACAACCATGGTTAAATCTTGAGAGCAATATTCAGCTTTGGAAAATATTGATATATGAGTTCCAAATTAAAAAGGGTTGCCATCATAAAATTCTCAAATGAGACTACCTTCTGTAATTATGCCATGATTCATAGATAATGAACACAAATATGTTGGAATTTCGGTGAAAAAGAAGAAACAACAAGTTTGGAAAAAAATTCTAATTATATGAATTGAGAATAAGGTTGTATGAACGGGTTAATACATGTAGGTTATTCTGAGAACGAACTACGTTGTTCGAATGTTGGTCAGAACATGATAAAAAACCTAACCTGATTCTTTTTAGCACATTTTCTAAGTGTTGTATGAACGAGTTAATTCAAGTACGTAATTCTAAAATCGAACTACGATGTTCAAATGCCCGTCAGAACATGGCATTATGCCATGTACAGACGAGCGTTGTTCGCTCTCTCATTCGTTGTTCGAACCTTAATTATAAAGTAATTACATAGTTCCCCATACAAAATTTTCTGAGCGAACAACGACTTTTGTACGTTGTTCTTTTCGAATCACTCTCTGAATAACCAATAAATTTGTCCAATCCCTAACAATTGAGAGCATTTGTCGAAAATAAATTAATTTTGACAGCTTGAAAATATTTATAAAATTTTCAAACTTTTTTAGTAAAATTGAAAATGATGAATGAAAAGTAAAAAATTGTCTAGTTTTTATATATGCAGCAGGATGTACATTTTGTTATCTACATAATGCAATATGAATTTCTTTCACCTTGGTTCTAATTAGCGTATAAAACAAGAAACAAATTTGGGGAAAGTCAAACAAAAAATTCTCCAAATTTTTACATGTGACATTTGAATTTAGAAAATATAAAAATGTATGAAAACAACAATATTTTCAGAAAAAATGGAAAACATGAGTTAAAAGTAAATAGATATTGGACCATACTATAGTCAGGAGAAAGAGAATTAATTTTTCTATTTAGATCCATATGTAATTCATGCAAATATGTTAGAATTTTGGTGTAAAACAAGAAACAAAAAGTTTGAAATAAAAAACTCTGATGACATGAATTAAGAATAGTGTTGTATGAACGGGTTAATTCATGTACGTAATTCTGAGAGCGAACTATGTTGTTCGTATGCCGTTCAGAACATGGCATTAGACTTCAATACAAAAAGTCGATTAATCGATTAGTCGAAAGTCGATTTACTTATCCCTACTAAGCGGGGTTTTACATTTATTGGGATCGGGATTGGTGTTGAGAGTTTCTCTCTCTTGAGAGAGTAATTAGAGTTGCGCTATTTTTAATTTTGTAACAAGCGTACATTTTGTACACAAAAGGTACGAATTGACATAAACGTACCAAAACAAAAATTAGATTTTTTATTATTCGTGAATACATTTAAGCTTAAATTATAATATATATTATTTATGCAATTAACTGGTATAAATATTGGCCAATATTTCTCGATAATTATGATTTATTATCATTTGAAGTAGAATTTTAGGTACCTTTTCGTACTTTTTTGTTCCTACCTGTGGTAATGTTTTCCAACACAATTCACATTTTACCACTGAGAGTTTCTCTCTCTCTCTCTCTCATGGTAAATTGAGAGTAATTAGTGTTGCGCTATTTTTAATTTTGTAACAAGCGTACTTTTTGTTCACAAAAGGGTACGAATTTAGCTGCATGTTGTACTAAAAACAAAAAAGTAGTTTTTAGTACACTTGTATGTAAATAATTACAACGGGTATATATTAACCGACAACTCTAGAGAAGTACTTATTGTTTTATGACATTAAATTGGAAAACCCTAAAAATGTTCGCTGCTGCAGTAAACTCAACAATTGTTTTCAAGAATATAAAAAATGTACCATAGTGATTAGTTTACCGGTTAAAAATAAATTTATTTGAAACTGCGAATATGAAACAGGTACATAATTTTTTATATTAGCAATTTGTATACAATATGTAACATGTTCTGAAAAAGTGGAAATAGTGAAAACGAAATTATCAAATCAAGAAATTGCTTAGGAATTTATTGAAGTAGCAAAAATGACCGCTGATATTTTGGATTATAATGAACACGAATGTAAAAACAAAGTAGAAGTAATAATTCAGTTTGGAAACAAGTTTCGTCTTTTTATGAAGTTATAATGTGGAACAAAAATTTAACCGAAATTTGTATTAATAAATATGAAGAAAAAAGTAAATTTTCGTACTTTTTTGTTCCTACCTCTTTAATGTTTTCCAACTCAATTCACAATTTACCACTGAGAGAGAGAGAAACTCTCAACACCGATCCCGATAAATGTAAAACCACGCAGAGAGGAACTCTCAACACCAATCCCGATAAATGTAAAACCCCGCTAACAAGTAGTTGTTATGTTTATTTACTACCAGTAGGAGTTTAATAGTACGTTGCGCGAATTACTGTGATGAACTCGACTGAACTGTAACAATACGGTCTGAAGTTAAAGATTTATTTAGTGTCTTGTGTCGGTCGGCATATGCATGTATGTGTGTGTGATTAAATTAAATACTTAATTAACAAAACACATTGGAATATGGGTTGTGCCGCAAGTTCAGAAGGCGAGGAGCCACAACAAAATCGTCCCAAGTATCGAACTTGTACGGACACATTTTGGCTTGCTGTCTATATATTATTTTGGCTATTTTTGGTAAGTTCTTCTTCTAATATATTGAAGATATAGATATTTACGCGAGTTTATTGCGTAAATCTACATAGGTAAATGATTATGTTTATGTGAACACAAAACAATTTCAAAGTGAAAGTAACATATAAGTAGTGTATTATAACTAATGGCTAATGACTTGAGACTGTTGCGTGATTGTGTGTATGGATGGCGTCATTAGATACTCTGCTATGTGGCTTACCTGTATATTTATCTCTCGGATACAAAATAAATATTTTGAATGAAATATTTTTGTTTATTGTTTTGAATTTTAATAAAATAGGGGGATTAAAAACATGAAGTATAACACTTTTCAATATACTATTTTATTGTATTTGAAATTAGTTTAATGCGTATAAAAATAGTGGTGCTGTAGTTCATCAATATCTTCTAAGAATTTTGGTGTTCCACGCCTAATTATATTTTCATATGGTTATTATTCTTTACTATGAGATGTGGTAATTTTTTTTTTCAGTTTTCTAAATAAAACTTCAAAATTTGTGTAAAAATTAAATAAACGAATGTTTTTACGCTACTGTTGTATTACTAATTGTACACATATTTTGTATATTATTAGTCTAAAATGTGGTAAATTTGCACTGTAAGATGATTCATATTTTTTTATGAAACGACAACAATGATCAAATGAGATGAAATAATAGATGCTGGCCACACAGAATTTCTAAAAAAAGTATTAATTTTTCTATTGTTTATATTATTGAAAAAAATTAAGGAATCAAGGGTTTTCTATAGTGAAATATATGAAATATAGGTATATGCAAATTTGTGAATACAATATCAATCGAGAGAAATTTCCGATTCGATCCAAACCCTGCCCATGGTAATATGTATTTATACCAAGCCTAGATCAAGTCAAGTGTATTTAGTGCAATGAATGAAAAAATTTTGCGCTATTTAATAAATTAAAAAAGTAGATGTGCTATCTTTTTATTTAATTATCGATATTGATATAGTGATAAATAGGTTTACTAGTTTGTACTATGTACGTCGGTATTGACAACTTAATCAGGTTGGCCTATTTCTTTAATTCAATTCACGAATATGTCGTTCTAAAAGTAGACAAATAATTATTAAAAAAAAAAACATTTTTGTATAATATATTATTCTACAATGAAGGCATGACGGCGTAGAAGATGAAATTTACTGTTACAACAGTCGTTTTCCTATTTATTAGAATTATCATTATTAAATTTATCATTTAGCACGTATTTAATGTTACTGTAGAACCACAAATAGTTAAGAAAATGTTTTTATTTTGATTTCTGTTAATAATTACGAAAATTCTATAACATTGTCTAACTTCCATCTTATTATAATATTTTTTAAGAGGTTTCTTTGCGAAATTTAATTTTGTAATCTACAATATATATTTTTGTTTTTTTTTTTTATTTTTGCAGATTGTTATTGCCATATTCTCGTTTGTGTATGGCAATCCTTTGCGAGTCATTAACGGATATGATTCCTTTGGTAATACGTGCGGCGTTAAAAAGAATGAACGCTACCCACAATTTCCCCTTTCGGGCCGCAACACTTTGGATACGCCGCAACTTTTATATTTTGATGTAAAGCATTTAAAAAAATCCCTAAAAGTATGTGTTAAGGAGTGCCCAACAAGAACACTGCTCAATAGCGCTGATGTTAATAACTATTACTTGGAAACACGAAATCATATTTGTCGTTATGATTTTAATATGTCAATATTGGGCGAAAGCGGACAAGGCGATTTAAGTAAATTATTCAATACACTTGGACCGTGTCCGGAATTTCCTATATATGAAAGGTAAGATGGAAGAGACTTTTTTATTCGTTTTATGGTGTCTTCGGAAAATTCTATTCTATTTTGGCATAGCGCAAGAAATAGGTGAAGCTATTTTTTGCTAAAAAAATATTTCGTTGATTTTATATGCCAATCTCCAGAATTAAAGTATGTGGTTAAAATCTTAAAAATATCAAAAATCATGCTGTATCAAATTTGTTGCCAATTTTCGAATTTGATGCGTAGAATCGATTTGTTAATCGCGAGGTATCAAAACTTAGCTCTTATTTTAAAGAGGAATACCATTAATATGATTTAAGATGATTCCAAAAACGATAAACGCGAACAAAAAATTATTTTTCGTATATCGCGGAGTGTACTAGAGGGATATCAATTTGAATATTGCGTGTCGAGTTAATGAATGTGAATTGATTAACCAGAACAGTGGGACTGGATTTTTTCATAATTTCATATAAATGAAGAACCAAACTGAGATTAATATAATTACGAAAAGAGCAACCCAAAAATGTTTGCGCATATTGCAATACATGATAGTGTTCATGCAATTTTATTCTATCAATATTAGAGACCGGTTACGGAATAAATTTCAATTCCATAATTTAGAAGGGTTATTAACAAGGACTGCGCCAAATGAGAACGTATGTATATGCTTTGGAGTATAAGCCTTTAAGCAGTATAGCCTTCTTAAAATAAAACAAAACTTATTACCGAGGAGATTAATATGGTCTTCAAAATTGAGATATGAATCAATAATAACGCCAAGACATTTAAGAGAGTGAACAATTTCTATCGGCTGGAACGTACGATTTCTAAGATGAAAAGTAATAGCCTTAGTCTTAGAAGGATTAATTACCAGACTATTAGTAACCCTAAAGCTTCCGATATAGTAGAGGCATTCCTCTCCTATATGTCAGAAATGCATAAAAACCTTTGTTCTAAATTGTAGTAATATTTATTATGAATGCAAAAAAAAAAATTTCATCAGTTGACATATTTTTGTTAGACAATTATTTTTTTTCTGGATTAATGCCATTGTCTGTTGATATTAGAGAAAGGTGTAGAGATGGCCCGCCGTCTTGACTTGCAATCCGTTTTAGAGCCACGACAAATTGTATAGACTTGGTCTATGTGCCTTAAAGATTAAATTTCAATTTTGATTTCTCTTATGAATTTAACTAGTTGATATAAGTGTTCTCCTTGGTGTTTATTCATGAAATCTTCGACTGAGAGGATATCACTAAAGGCTGGGTAGGTTGCTCTTATGTTGCTGTATTTGGTGTATTCGAAAAGTATGTGAGAGAGTTTCCTCTGAATTGCAAGTGTCGCAGTTATCAGATTGCACTTAAAATTATTTCGATTTAGCATAGGATTTCAAACAAATCAAGATATTGAGTTGACTTAATTTTGTATTGTAAATCCAGACAAATTCAATTAATAGTACGTTTACATTTAACCGGATTTCGTCAACCCAGTGGGTTTGAGTTGTCAGTTCCTTTCTATATATGCCAAATAAATCCTCATGAATTAGGTTAACCCAGTAAAAAGTTCTAATGTATATGCCGTCTAAAACAAGATAATGTCACGATAACAGCTATAGTCTAAAAACGCCTTAGAATTACTTTATTAAGGTTATATATCGTTTCCTTATATTTGATTTCACTTTTTTTTAACAAAATCTGAAAATGTTATTTAAATATATAAATTTGATATATATATAATATATACCCTAATAAATTCTGACAATTTATTTTACTAATGCTATTACCTTGTATTAACTTAATACTGTTACCTTGATTAACTATGCGCAGGATATATTATCACTTTAATTCGTAAAGCATGTACAAAAGTTGTCCTGTAAATTTGTGTGTTCATTTATAAATCATTTGAATGTCAACATGTTATGACATTATAAAATTAAATAGATTTTAGCGACTTTTACTGACCAATACAAGCATATGCATTACGTCTATGTGCATATGTTTGTGACAGGCAAAAGGAAACGAGATAGATACATGGTGCCTTTAAAGAATATGCTTTCTAAGTCGATTTATGCATGCCCGTCCGTCTATCCATGTTAAATCGAACGGCTGGACCGATTTGACTCAAAATGTCTTTCAGTTGTCGGTAATTACGGTGGAAAGTTTTTATGAAAGAAAAATTTGAAAAAAATCCGAGAAAATCTTGCAAGAAATATTTTAAAGAAACCGCTGTTTCTATTAGCAGTCTGTAATTGAAGGGGAAAGGTTTTAATGGAAGGACATTTTTGAGAAAAATCCGCGAAAATGTTGCAAAATATATTTTGAAAGATATTAGCATTTCCACACGTATTATATCGAATCTTTATGATTTCATCTCGTCGTAGTTCCTTTTGGACATATTTTCGACGAAAATTATGGAAAATTCTCAAAATATGTTAAATTTCTACAACCAATTGGATTGTCATTGCCTTGATAAAACTATTGTATACGAAAATAAATTTACATATATTTTCATTAGAGTTAAATTTAATAGTAAAAAACCGAAAAGAGAGAGAGAGTAAGATTAATCGCTATCATTATTTGGCTCACGTTTTCCATAAAATCAATATTTATTATTTTGAAAATATAAGTTATGTTATGTGAAGAAATTTGCATGGTATGTATAGGTTGTGAAAATGTTCTCAAATAAAACACAGTAAGACATGGTAAAGTAAAGATTAAGCCTTTCCATTATGTGGAGCCTATACCAAAAACTATACCGGCAATTATGAGGGAAGTTTCTTACCTTATGTAGAATAACGAGTTAAAGGCAATTAAATTGATATTTTTTACTACTTTCCAAGTACTTAAAATAGGTAGGATGAGCATGCTTAAAAACGCACAATAATGGAACAATAATGGTTTTTACGAAGAAAATCTTGAGAAAAACATCAAAAAGTCGGGAATCGGGAAAAGTTGAATCTGGCAACATCATGCCTGAGTAGACGTGTGTTTTTCATCTCAGCTGATCGTTTGCTAATTTCTATTGGCATTAAAACAGAATTCGAAAAAAGTTTTTATTTGGCGCTTATTATCATCCTTTTAAGAAAATAAACAAAAAACGCATGAAATTTAATGAAAATAAGTTTATATTTCAACTGTGGTTAAGTTGTTGCGTAACTGTTTGGTCTCTTATTCCTGTTCGCGTTACTGTTATAGCTGGAGTTGTTGCTGCATATTTATTCAATTGCTGTTGTCCACTTTTTCTTTACAAAATCGGCTATTAAATGTGGGTTTGTAATGACTCCATAACGAAGACGCAAGGAAGTGTTATGTGCAGAATATATATGAAATGGATTCATGCTACATTTGCCAATGTGAGCGACAAGGAATTTACTGCTTTGCGAACAATGAAGACGACACCTTTTCCATATGTTATTCAAAACATATCAAATGTAATTCGAGAATTCCATTTGCAATTCACAACATATAATTTGCAATTCGAGAATTTCATTTGCAATTCGTAACAAATCAGTTGTAATTCGAGAATTTCATTTGTAATTTATAGAATACCTTTCGAAATTCATAGAATTCCATTTGAAATTTATATACTTCCATTTGAATTTCCAAGGAATGCATTTGAAATTCATAAAATTCCATTTGAAATTCAAATAATTCCATTTGAAATTTAAAACATTCAAATGGATTTCTTTGAATTTCATGTGAAAAGTTTAAAATTACAAATAAAATGTTGTGAATTGCTAATTAAATACTCGAATCCAAATGAAATTCTCGAATTGCAATTGAAATGTTTTAAATAACACTTGATTTGCCATGCGAGCAAATAAAGTAAAGTTGCGTAGAAGAGGAGATTCGTAACCTAAATGCAAAATTTGATGGTTTTATTTTATTCTGAATAAAATTCCATAAAATCGGCTCTTGATGATATAAATAAGGAAATGTGCGCCTGTTTATCAGAACTGAATTCACTGCAACGACAGAGTAAAAGAATTGGAAATTAATACAAATTCGAAAATAGCACAACCCAACTACTACATCGCAGATTAAACAGATCCAACTACATTATTGGTGGCTTACCCTCAGGGCTCAGAGATCTATATGCCCCAGTTTTATCACTAGCTAAATTTTTCAAAGTACCACTTTCTGACCAGGACATTAATTATGTTTGTTACATAAGCAAAAAACACAAATTTTAGTTAAATGAATGTGTCTGCCATGCCATGATGCATCGCAGACTAAGAATACTTAAGTACCAGAACCCTCAGAACCTGTGATATTTTAGATGGTGTAGGAGAGGATCTCACAAATCGAATCTACTTAAATGAACATTTTTATCTAGCAGCTGCAGAACTCAATACTTTTTGTAAAAGACTCCGCCGACAAAATATAATTTCTAAGTTTAGAGTTTTGAATTCTGACCAACTGCAGGCTAAATTAGTTCTGAGCAATGGTAACGAAATATATGCAGATGCTACAAAATGTACCGCTTTACTGGGTGGAGCTGGTATTACGCCGTATCTGAAACGTGGCTCACTGCCGATATATGTGATAAATCAATTTCCATATAAACTCTGCCGAAATGATAGGCAATTTTCAGCAAGCGGCGCAGGAATTTTTGTGTGCATGGACTTACGTACAAAACTGTATTTAAATGTTCTCTACATGGTTGCGAATCGCTGTTTATAGAATTGTGTTTTGGAAATACTAAGCTTCTGTTTGGTGTGATTTACTTACCAAATTGAAATCTATATGATTTCTATTTTCTGACTACCCACATATTGTAATTTTGGGCGCTTTTAATTTCAATTTATTTGATGGGTCCAAAGCTAGTACTTTTCGATCCCTTTGCGCTAGGTATAGCATGTCTATTGCCCACAACTCTAAACCGACGCACTTTGATTTGGCTAGATGATCGACGTCTCTAATAGACTATATGTTGGTAAGTGAAGTTTCTCTTGTAAATCATCACAATCAGGTCCAATGTCCGTCCGTCTCAGATCACGCTCTCATATTTCCGACATGTTGTTTCAACTATAATCAGGCATCCGAATTTATGATATACCGGGACTCTCACAATTTAATTGGGAACTTTTCTTCTTCTTCTTAAATGATTTTGACATGGAAGTCTTATTGGGTGAGTCTGATTTAAAATATTCTTATATAAATATCTTACTTCAAAATTTATATTCTTGTGCACCCGTTGTAAGGAAGTTATTAAACCTCGGGTAGATGATTGGTTTGAGGCCAGGGAAGTTGTTTTTGCGAGATTGCTTAGCGATCTAGATTTTTCTGCATTCCAAACTGATCGCTGTGCCAGAAATTGGTTAACGTATTGTAAATATCGAAATAGGGCCAGAACTGTTATTCGTAAGGCTAAAAGGAAACACTATGCAACTCAATTTGGCAAGATGAATGCGTCAGGCATTTGGAAGTTATTGAAAAATTCGGGATGCATCAAGTGTGACAGTGCTGATTTTAATATTGATGTTAACGATATTAATAATGCCTTTGTTAGTTGCGATTCGGGATCTGAAGAGGAACTTGACTTTAGCCGACATATTGACTCTAAGTCCTGATTTATATTAGGCGAGTTTACTTGCGGCAATGTTTATCGTTCTCTTTTGAACTTGCTCCATGCGTCTATACAAGGCAATTCGGTTTCCGCAAGTAAACTCGCCTAATATAAATTGGGACTAACTCTTGCTTTTATTTTCAGTCTGTTACAAATGTTTTAGTTTTTGAGGCTCTAAATCAAGTGAAGTCTAGGTCTGTGGGAGTTGACGAAATACATATCGATTTTATAAAACTTATCTATTCCTACATTTCGGATATTTTGTTGCATATTGTGAATTATGTCCTTATGAGTTCCACATTCCCTCAGTTGAAAAAAGCTCGAATTGTTCCAATTCCAAAAACAAAAAATTACATGCCCTGATGATCTTCGCCCGATTTCGATACTTCCAGCCGTATCTAAAATTGTGGAAATAATGAAAAACCAGATTTTAGAACATGCATCTAGACTGATATGTGATACCAAATTTGCATTTCGCCGCGGACATAGCACCACACACTTACTTTTAAAAGCGACAGATTGCATACGTAAGAATACCAATTATGGATAACTGAGTGTTCTTATATCTATCGATCTATCAAAGGCCTTTAATTCTATTAATCATGTCCATATGATTAAAAAACTCTCTTATCAATTTTAACATTGATGTTAACGATTGCAAGCTTATATATTCCTACCTTTGTGGCAGATCGCAGTTTGTGTCTGTAAACGGTTGTGAATCCGGTACTATTGAGCTTCACAGTGGCATACCGCAGGGCAGTGTATTAGGGCCACTTTTATTCATCCTATAAGTAAATGACCAGCTCGGAATTGTGTGAGACCTTTCAGTTCGCTGATGACATTTTCTTGCTTTTTAGTGGACCCAGCGAATTTCCATTGTTGTTCGAAAGTCGCATCAATATGTGTGATATAGATAAATTTTCTCTATTTAAATTAATGAAATAATTATATTAATAATTAATTTGAAATGTTTGAACTCAGGTCTTAATTTACTATGAAATATGTTTATATGGTCAAAAATGGCCTTGTATTGCGGAATGAATAACATAAAATTAGAATAATCGAACGTTATGTTAGTTACATCGTTTATAACTCAAGAACGTCTACACCGATTTTTAAGATTCAAAGGACTTATAAATCGTATGTGGTCAGAATAGGAAAATATGCAAAGTAATTGTGAGATTCCGCACAAAACAAATATATTAAGTAATATTTACAATTCCCCAATTTTTGTATCGAGCTTTAATGTTTAAAAAATTTGTTGTTTTTTAAGACATATGGTTTTTGAGTTACTTAGATCAAAACTTCTAATTTAAAGAAAATATGTGTATGTTCTAATACTAATAATGCGATAATTAATATCGATGAAAATAATGGTAATGATAGCATTATTAGTATTCCCGTCAGATATTTGATTTTCATATTTGTCAAAAAAATTTATTATTTTTTCGACAATGTTTCTTTTTTGCCGACAACTTAAAGTTTGATTGTGGACCTATGTAACCTTAAACAACAACTTATTCAAGAGTTATAGTACGTTTACATTATACCGTATTTCGTTAACTCAGTCGGTTTCAATTGTCAATTCAATTGTATACATGCCAAATAAACCCTCATAAAGTAGGTTAACCCGGTAAAAAAGTTCTAATGTAAATGCCGTTTTAAATTGAAATCAAGTTGTCAAACAATGTGAGGATATAACAAATCCGATTACAAAATTTCACTATTTAGAGTTAAGAGTAAAACTGGCATTTACAATTAAAAGAAGGTATACGGTGTCAACATTGGTCAAACTTTTTCCCTTTAACTTTCAAAACATATACAAATCTATAACGGCAATCTGAAAACCAATTAACAATTTGTTTAAAAATTAAATATACCTATAAATGAGCGAAAACCACTAAATGTCTATGCCCAATCTAAAATTTTTCGAGTTATATACTGATTTCAATATAAAAATAAAAAGGACAGTAGGACATGGACAAAATGATATAATAAAGAATTCATCAAGAAGGGACAAATAAGATAATGTAAAAACGTGGGAGCAATAACAAAAAAAAGGCTTCTATTGAAAAAACATGTAGTGGAATAAGTTCTACCAAATTATAAACTGTTACTTGGTCCTGCATTGCACTGCACTGAAGTTAATATAAATTATTCTGTGGCAAGTTTCGTTAAAATCGGTTTAGATATAAATATATCTCTCACATATTTGTTTTATTTTCAGTTCACCAGTTCTACATCGTTGCATGCCAAAGAGCAAAAATGCTCCCGTCAAAGATATGTACAATATGTTAAACTCTTGGGATGCTGCTCAACAATTTTTGGGTGATATCTATTCGACATGGCATTTTATTGCGATTATCTGTGGATTAGCATTTTGTAAGTATATACATACATCGATATATACATACGTGTACATACAAAAAAATTCAAATACTTTATTGATTATTATTAAAATGATTCTTCATTGACAGTAATTTCAATTGCATTGGTCATTTTAATGCATTGGTTGTCACGCATTGTTTCTTGGCTGATTTGTGTGCTGGTCATTGTGGCCAGTGTTGGTTTAACTGGGGCCTTATGGTATGTAGCATTGTGTGTGTAATAATTGGCGAAATTATTTTCACTTGCACTTGTTTTTAGGTATGCCTACTATTCCATAAAGAACAAGCAAAAAATTAATGTACAATTCTCGTACTTGGAGGAATTTACAAGAAATGAACAAGCGGTCTTTACATTGGCAATCTTGGCTACTATAACAATGGTAGGAGGCGTGACATTGACAATTTATTATGTATGTAAACCTATATTTAAAATGATTCACTTTTTTCTCTTATTTACAGATTATTTTAGTCGTCATTATTTATTATTTGAAAAATAAATTATCCGGTTTGACAGCTCTATTTGAGGAGTCTGGCAAATGTATGATGAATTTACCAGGTTTAATTTTTGCACCCCTGTTGGCGTTTGTTGTTTTAGCATTATTTTTAGCATTTTGGGTGTTTGTGGTAATCTGCATTGTAACCGCAAGTTCGCCCGGAAATAGCAATCCATTTGCTCCTCTCGACAATACGGCATCACAATCGAATGGCATAACTGTTAATTCAACTCGAAGTAAGTAAATACAATTTTATTAAAAAAAATAGCTTACCTTATCATCATACTACTTAATTTTGATAATCCATAATACTAAAAACGTACTACGGAATTTACATATACCACAAAAATTCATATGTAAGTGAATAAGATTTGATTTTGTTTTAAAAACAAAAATCGGCATCAACATAATGCAATTGTGTAAATAGCGAATTGGTTTACTAGCCACAACAAATTCACTTTTATTAAAAAAATTTTAACACAAGCTTTTGAGGTAAATTATATAGCACTATACTCTTAATAAAATATTGGTTGGTGGTGCTTTGATATAGAATCTATTGAAATAGTTTTAAAATGTTCTTATTTCACAATTGTTGAGTACTGGAACAGACCAATTGTAAATTATTCAAGTAAAACATTTGTTAAGTTCGGCCAATTGATCGGAATGGGGGCTATGCCATGGTAAATTGTTGATAGGAAGATTTGACAACAAATGAGAACCCCAGATATCTAATTTGACTAAATTGGAGAAAGTTGATAAATAATGGTATCCAATGCTAATCCGTAAAACTAATTACATTTTAAATTGGGAGACATTTCAATTTGGGGGATATATTTTTTCTCAAATTATTCATGATCGGAGGATTTTGGGTATCTTATATGGGGACTATACAAATAAATGTAGATCGAAATATTATCAGTCTTATTCTGGACATCAATTCCCTTTGAATATTCTGAACCAGAACTCGCAGCGAATTTTTTCGAACCAAACAAAATGCCATTGGAAATCCTTTTGATAACGACTTAAAGACAACTTGTGTGTGAGAATCTGTCTCTCTAGAAAAAATATTAAAAATTATGGAAAAACCACATAGTCAAATATGCTATGATGAGCCGATTAACAGTGAAAAAGTCAAATAAACGGTATGTTCTGGAACTCACGGTGTGTTCTTTTCACTTCACACAGACACTTCACCACAGAAGTTATCTCCTGTTCTGCATCTCACGTGAATTGAAATTTTCGAACTGCGACAAAAATAAACGCTGACGTAATACTTTGCAGAAATAGTGTTACAATACAATATAAACTGTATTCGTTTTTAACATTGTTTCTGTTACTTTTTAGTAATTTCGTAATTATTATAATTATTATTTTATAATATTTTATTATTCGCAACATAAAATATATGTATGAAAGACCCTTTGGTATCATTAATTTGTTGATTGATTTAAGGGGAACAGTTGGTAACCCTATCTTGTACGATGTTATTTCAAATCAGCTGTTTGTGTTAAGCGAGAGATTCATTCGGAATAAATGCAACACAAACCTAAGTATCTATTTATAATTGAGTTTTAAAGCCGTTTTATCTTAATTTTGTGATTTTAAACAAATTATACACAATAATAACATATTAATCTAACATCATGTGCCTTATTTATTTCAAAAAATATAGAAAAACATGAATACACCCGACTCTCACTATGGAGTAGTTCAAATTCAATTAATTTTTTTTAATGTACGTATGTATGTTAATTTTTTTTATATTTGTGATACAAATTACACAACTCATTTTTATATATAATAATTTTCCATTCCATTCCTACTGGAGTAGTCATAATCCAATTAATCAAATTTTTTAATCATAATCTATAATAATCAAAAACTTTTTTTTGTAATTTAATCGGTATAATATTCATTAGTAGTTCAATACCCCTCCCTTTTACATTTAAGCCGCTTAATACGATAAATTTTATATTTAATTGTGAAATGTAGCTTACAGCCTTAAGGTCGAAAGACTGGGCACTATGAAATATATAAATAAATAAAATAAATAAATAAAATGTAAGTGTAAAGAATACACTTCAAATGGGTGTAAAGTGTGTTACAGAACACCTCGGCGTGTGCTCAATACACTTCTGCCGTTAAAGTAAATGTCAGAACATGTCCGAAAAATTATGAAGCTACAAGAAAATATTTTTTTCTTTCAAATTTTTCGTGTTTATGATTTGAAGGACGAAATCGAGGAGGAGGAGCATATCATAATTGGACACTTTAAGAATTTGGAGAGAAAAAAATATCGAAATTAAATAAAAAGGCACACAATTATGTAATGAAATAATAAACTGCGAATTAATTTAATCGCAGATTTCTTCCCATTATTTGCTGTATCTTCGACATGGTTCAATGTGGTTTTTGCCATCGTAAAGAAATGCTCTTTTTTTGTAATTTGTTGTAGTTGTTGCATCAAAACAATAAACACCGGTTTTACATGCTGTTGTATGTTGCCATATTTTCAAACTTTAATTTATATTCTTTTAATTACAAAATAGTTTTGCAGTGGATTCTTTATATTTCACATTTATATTGTTTTAAAGCTTAAATAATAATAAAATGTAACTTTTTTTAATTCAATAAATAAAATATTGAAAAATATTACAAAATTAAATTACAATGGGCCAACACACATTGCAATATGGCAACACGAATCTTTTCAACCACCATTTTCGAAAGTTAGAATCCGCATCTCGTATTTTTTTGAATATTTTGGAATACATTCGGAATAAGGCGAGAATGTGAAACCAAAACATTTTTCACAAGCGAGATATCTCATTATAGAATTGTAATATATATGTATACAAATATTTTTAGGTGTTGCATACGTAGTGACAAACTTCATGTAATATAAATTAAAATTAAATTAAAATTATGTCTACTTCGAACTTTAAACATAGCAAGCTGCTTTACACATTCACGTACTTTAATTTTTATATCTCGTATTTTAATATTTTAAAATAATGTTTTTTTCCACGTTCATTGAGTTTAAAATATTACATTGCACGACTTCCATTTTTCTCTTGCTTGGCAGCGGATGACCACATTTCAAACTTATATTAAGATATTGGATATTCTAACACATAAAATATTATCGATTCTTGTTCGTTCATTTATTGCCTAAGCATTATTGATGGTATTATTATACACATCTACATTTCTTTTTTTCAAATTATTAATAATTGGTATTTTTAGTCTTAAGCAATTCGGAAGAGCATTTAAAAAAATCTTTATTGCAATCTATTTCTTTTATTGTAGGATACATAAATAATTGTATTTCACTTAATAATTATTAGTACTTTGTAAATAAAAATTGTAACTGAGACTCGCGATTTTATATATACACTTTTTATTAATACTCATAATACATGTATAATTGGCCTTAAATGGCTTTAAATTGAAATATTAAATATCAGTATTTCTAATTATCCTTATTTATTTTATAGGTTTCATACCCATAGAATATACCGAAGCGAAAACAATCAAGAGTATGTTCTGGATATATGTTGTGGGTCTTATATGGACAACGGAATTTATTTTCGCATGCCAACAATTTGCCCTGGCTGCAGCTGTAGCTTTTTGGTATTTTGATAAACCAACAACAACACCCACAATATACGCCATCGGAAGACTGATAAAATATCATTTGGGTACAGTTGCTAAAGGCTCGTTTGTTATAACAATATTCAAGATACCACGTTTAATTTTGACATATCTTTACGCAAAGTAAGTTCTACTCATATGGAATGGAATTTATGGTGATTCCATTCCAAAATTCATGTAAATTTTTTTCGTTGCAGATTAAAAAAAGGCGAAGACAAAGGTTCTGAATGTGCTGCATGCTGTCTTAAGTGTTGTATTTGCGGTTTTTGGCTATTGGAAAAATTCATACGTTTCCTTAATCACAATGCATACACCGTGGTGGCCATAGAGTCCATCAATTTTTGTCCAGCGGCAGGAATCGCTTGGAATGCCATGGCCACCAATGCATTACAAGTTGCCACAATTAACAGTGTTGGTGATTTTGTATTGTTTTTGGGAAAAGTAATGGTGGCCGCCATTTCCGGTCTTATTGGCATTTTCATTTTAAAGGATAGACCCGGTGTCAATTTCTACATGGCCCCGGTAATATTAATTATAATATTTTCATTCTTTATTGCTCACATTGTATTGTCTCTGTTTGAGGTAAGTTCAAAGTTTTTAAAGGAAATCTAAAGTGTAGTATATGCGATTATTTCTTTTCACTTAAAATAGATGGTTGTGGATACACTTTTCCTGTGTGTATGTGAAGATAAAACAATTAACGGTCGTGCTGGACGCTGGGCCCAAAGCAATTTAGCAAAATTAGTTGGCGAAGAACCATTACAGCCAGGAGAGGAACCGCCCATACAGGTTGTTGAAATGATGCCTATTAACAAACAACCATTCAGCACATCGAAAAGGCCTGGCATGATAGTACCTGACGGGCCCATGGAATCACATGAATAGATTATATGAATACACACTATAGTTGTAATGAACAAATTTAATTTAAAATTATATACGTACATATATACTGAAAATGACAATTATATTTATATACACGTAACTTATTTTCAATCATGTTTAAAATTTACTAGCTTTATGGAAAAAAATCCGCACAATTTTTTTTATACATATGTATATATATATATATATAAGATGAGAAAAAATTAAATTCATTTAGAAATGTGTGTTTTGAATCTCTCATTGTGTTCCATACTAACAAAACAAAAAAAAAACGTATTATTGATTACATTATTTAATATGTATGTGTTATTGCAAATGTATTGCACTTATTTATTCGCTTCCGAGATGCATAAGATAAGATAAAAAATATAGACTATTATGCATGAAAAAATACCATTCAAGATCTATGTAATTATTTTGTACAACACTCATATTTTTATAATAAAATAAACAAAATATAAGTATGATTGCTTATTTGATTATTTCTATTTATTAAATTCATTTAATAGTTCATAACCCTCCAAGAACAAAAATAAATATTAGAGCTCGCAGAGATTATTTTCGCATTGTCACTTTCCCCTTTTTCCCAATCAAGTTCGAAAGTGAAAAAATCCGCTTTGGGGAAAATTAATTATTTTGGATTACGGGGAGTGGGGAAAATATAAGTATTAAACATTTTTATTTTCATTCAAATTTAACGCCTATGTTAAATTTAAACAAATACCTTTGTTTTTGTCTCGATTATCTTTCAAATTTTTCCATATAATATTTCAAATGGTTGGCAACGAGGTTACAGCCTTACCTAAAATTCAACTCGCTCGTTCGACGTTTTCACCACAAAAGTAGAATACATGTATATAAATACAATGGTACAATAATACAAGGTAGGGCAGCTTGAGGTGAATAGCAAAAAAGCAACTTTGCACGTGTGGCTTCTTCTGTCAAAAATAAATATTCGCAACAAGTGTTTGTGTTTATTTGACATTTTTTCAACACAAAATTCAAAACGGGAAAAATGAATGAAAGGTTATGATTTCTTCCCAAAATCCAGTAGGGAATACCATAAAATATTTGTTTCCTTAAATATTTGGATTCATTTAATAAATGTTCAATTTTATTTTGCGGTTTGTATAATTCGCTTGAAAATATGGATTCGACGTATTTGGGTAGTACGGCCGTACACAATATTTTGCCATAGTGGGGACGTTGAATATTTTTGTACGCTCCGTCGGGCAATACGTAACGTTGTTTAAATAACAATAAAAAGCAACAATATAAAATTGAAAAATATTACAAAATTAATTACAATGGGGTAACACACATTACAACTTAAATTACAATATGGCAACACGAATCTTTTTTTCAACCGCCATTTTCGAAAATTCGAATCCGCATCTCGCATTTTTTGCTTCTAACTATTCATTTAGATTAAGGCGAGAATGTGAAAACGAAAATTTGTTTCACAAGCGAGATCTCGCCCTAGCGAATATCCAGAATAAGGATGATATATAATTATTTAAAAATATGATTTTTCTAATTTCCAAATCTTGGCCTTGATTGGACTAAAAAGACACATATCCCCTTCCATTATTTTCCTCTATTATTACACACATACTTTTTTGTAGAGACAGATTTCCGCTAGGTCTCAGAACAGTTGTCGATGAATTCAGAATGTTCTTTTATTTATTTGTTGGGAGGTATCATATCCTTTTGCTCACACCACTTTCATGACCATTAACACTACATATATTGAAATATATTTTGAACGTACATTTGGTATTTACACACCAAATAAAAATAAATTAAGCCATTTAGTTGTACATTTTAAACAGTATTTCTATATTTTTTTTTTTTTTTTTTTGAAAATTAACAAATCCACCTAAAAGTACACATCATCCAAAAGATAATAAACTATTATTAAAGCAACTTGATTGCGTTTTTGTTTCTTTGTTTTGCCGCTAAATTTTATATCAGAGATAATTAATTGGACATAAAGATATTAGTTATTGTATCATAATAAAAAAATGCTTAAAATTACACTAAAAGATGTAGCCTTCGTTTAAAAGATTTTATAAATTATACAAATTTAGGTAAATACAAAACCCTGTTCTACTGGTATGTCAAATGGAATGTTGAAATATTCAGTAGGTAGTTGAGTACAATGTGATGACTTAAAATCACGGAAATGTTTACGCAACTAAAAAGAAAATGAAAAACATATATTATTCAATTTAATTCAAATTAGTTTGTAATGCAAATAGTCTTACCAAAAATTCGGCCATTTGATGGCGAACATCATCTGTGTAATCTTCCCCTATGGACATTGGGAATTTCTTGCCCTGATCAGAGGCGAATGTTATTAGTCGGGTTAAACACAGATCATCATCTGATGCTATAAAAAAATTAAATGTTTTAAAAATAAATACATCCATATGTGTAGAACGTTTTGTCATACCTGTGGAGTTTCGAATTTCCAATGGTTTCGAAAGTATTTGTTTGCAACGATTTAATTGTGGTGTTTGGAATATAAACGGATAACGGTATTTCAAAATACTCAAAGCTAAAAAGTTGCCTCGGTTTGTATCAAGTTGATTATCTCTGAAATAAGTAAATAATAACACAAATTTCAATAAATGTTTTCATGTCAGTTGAACAGAGAACGAAACGCAATAATTTCCTTTTCAACGACCAGTTCATCAGAATGTCAAATGAAAGGAAATATTAAGAAATTTGGTTTACTTACTCTGCTATAACTTCGTCTTCCGTACGTCTAATTAAACTTATGGGTCCATGATAGTTCTGAGCCAGCTCAGCATTGTTCAAATTACAATAATCACGTATGGCAATGCGTACAACTCCACCTTCAATTTGTGATTTTAGTCATTATTCTTATTCAAAATTAAAAAAATGAAAAAACCTATCTTACCCAAACTCTCAGGCATTCGTGGCTGTGCCAAATATAAAATATCATCGAAGGTGGCATCTAATATCTGAAAACCAAAAAAATAAACCGATTAACCAAATATGCTTAGGCAACATACTGAAGACTCTTACAACTCCTTTTACATCGGGAAAGCACGATGCAGCCCACAAGGACGCAAAACCTCCAATACTCCAACCGTACAATATAATATCCTCAACAGCGAAACCCAATTCATATATAGCGAATTGTACCACGGCCTCTATAGCATTTTTATCCTGTTCGGGAAATGGTGTACCAGTACTACCTTCAAATCCCGGATGATTCCATCCCAAGATTGAGTAATTCAATGCCAATGGTGTTCCAACAATACCAATTTCGTAAAATCCAGCATTACCTGTAAGCGAACGTTTTTATTAAAATTTCCAGTTTTCTACAATAGAGTAACATTACCTTCTGAACATATTACAAGAGTTTTTCCATTTGGACTCTTTTGACGATTGTCTACAAAAATCGTATCAATGTCATTGGAATCAATCGAACGAATTTTATGACGTTTTCCATTTTCTTCCTCAATTAATTTGGCACGACCCGATATCAACATTGGTCTCATATAGCTTTGCAGCAATTTAACTGAACCGGGGAAAATCATTTTAATACCGAATGTATGTATAGCAATATATGCGGCTATTTCACAGGGTAATGTTGCAAATCTAAATGAGCGAGTTGAGTTCCTTGCCAATGCCTGACATTTCTTCTTATCATCACTGTAACAATATTATTTAAATAATCATTACCATTAAAATAAATGTCCTTACCTTTGTATATTTTTCACATCAAAATCAACTGCCCAATTTTTAAATTCAAAGTCAAACAATCGCAGTGCCCTCTTTCCTTCTTCCTCGGTTTTGGGAGACTTTAACATCTCCATGGCCTTAATCATTTTCGTATAGGACGCTGATTGTGAGCGTCCCAAACCTCTCATTACCATTGAAATAGCGACAATAATACCAATGCTGGTGCTTAGCTTTGCCAGTGTAGCTATTGAATCCATGACAAAATAGCCACGACGATATAACAGTGTCGCTATTATGGGAGAACTATAGAAGCCGATATTCCATACCAAATTAAGCTAGTTATAACCAAAAATAAAATCAATATTATAACAAATTGCTTCGCAATATTTATGGCTTACCGTCGACAATATTTGGTCACCAAATTTCTCCAGGCCATTAGGCTCATACATTTTCTAAAATAAAACATAATTATGCAAAAAAAAAAAACTAAACTCGTCTCGATGTAATAATATGTTTTGTCATACCATGCCCATGCCATATTCCATATATAGTTTGGGTCCAAGTATATAACGCAAAAACCCCATTTTTGCGAAATTAATTGTCAACGTTTCAAAATCGTTTTCGTTTGCAAAAATAGTCAGAAAATGCAATAGCCTCTTTCGAAATGTAAAAATAAATTAAATGACATCTATGATCCAATAAACAGGTCGTGTCAGAAGCAATCGTTATCGACAATTTTGGAGCAATATCGAAAGCATTTGACAGCTTATCGGACGACCTTATTATTGGATCATGATCAGTGTTGCCATTTGAAAAAAATTTCCGTCCAAAATTTCCCCTAAAAAGTGCCCAAAATCAACAATTTATGCCCAAAAAGTCAAGATTTGAACAAATATACCCTTATGGTATATATTAAAAGTGAAAAAGAGCGCGCAAAATGTACCTCATCAAATTATTTGTTTTAGAACCTATGTGTGTGGACCAAATCTATTTCAGACAATTTGGAGTCCACTTAAAAATGTCCGTCTGTCTGGTTGACTGTTGCACACGATAACTTTCGAAAAGAGTAACTATTTCATCCAAACTTTGCAAATCATTATGTTTCTTCCAAACTAAATTAAAATTCTGGCACCTTTCCCACAAAAATTTTGGTGAACACAATTTTATAAGCTTTGTACAACATACTATTTTAAACAAGTCTGTATAATATTGAAATATGGTCCACTACGATCCACACTTCTGCACATACCCATAATAGGGTCAATACTGTGAAAATTGAAGCGAACGGAATATCTATATATTTCATCCAAACTTAGTCCATCGTAATATTTTTAAAGCCTAAATAAAGTCAAAAGATGGGATGCATCGGTTTAATTCTTCTTTCAACATTTATAAACAAAATATTAGGCGAATGGAATGTCGATTTTTATTACCTCTTACACAAACAGTCAGAATTTAATAAAAACGATCCACCTCTAGTAAAAAAGAACCACCTAGAGAGTAATTACATAGACCTCCTCAAACCATAGGATAAGTGTATATATCTGTCGGAAACACAGTTATTTAGAATAGTCTGATGGGGCCATATGGGGGCCCTACACAAATACCAGTGGATTTAAATTTTCAGTGACAATTGCCCATATTTGTGCCTCAAATAATAATAACAATGTAGAAAGGCTTGTTTATTTCATGGATTTCGGATTATAAATATGGCCTTTTATCCCATAAATATTAACCAGTCATTACCGAAAATTATAGGAGTCACCTGGAACTTTAAACATTTTGTAACGTTCAGCACAATTTTATTCAATTCCCACATCCGAGTATATACATCATAATTGTTAGTATATATTTAAATGTCAACCACTCCTCTTTGATATAGTGTCAGCTTTCACGGCCTTCGTTTTGTGGAGTAATTTTTCACACAAAGGTCTTGGAAAATTGGACCCGCCAAATATTGTTCAATATTTATGAGAACATCTAGCCTTGTTTCCAGAGCAGATTGTGATTTCTAGAGGGAGCAGGTAAAACCCATAATCGATATGTGTCGACTTTGTGCAGAACAAACTGTCTAGATGGACTCAGTCAGGGTATATATATATGTATACTATAAGAGCAATATTAAGCCTTTTTTAAATTCTTGGGTCTTTAATATACCTCACAACATCGGGTAAACAAATATAAAAAGAAAAATATTAATATGATGGCAACAAAAAAATGCCCAAAATCCGCCAAGGTAACAAATTTTACATTTTTTATGCCCACTTTTGGGCATAAATGCCCACTTTCGGCAACAATGATCATGATGACATCAAAAAAATTCACCACTCTTCTTCTTATCGCATGGAAACACAGCGTGAAATGATAACGTCTTAATCGTTAATTGTTAAAACATGAAAAAAAACTCTTTATAATTTATAAAGGTAACACTTGTAATATATTATATATTTTTTCACCTGGTCAATCTGCTTTTATTTTGTGGAATCATTTATATTTGGTCTACTAATTTTAACTATTATAACAAATTTTTCTTTATGTAATCGAAAAATATAGTAAAAATTCATAGCTTCTTGCAGTACGGGAATAGACCATTTTTTTATTTTTATATATTTTTTTACAGTCGGCACCGCTTTCAAAATAGCATTTTTTATTGGAATTTAATATATTTTATTTCCCCAAATACGAATTTTCGCGTTTCTCTTAAATATATTTTTACCCAAAAAAGACAAAATCATTTCAGCCGCTCAATGCACATATCGGTTAACACCATGGTATAATTATTATATGATATAATTATTACATGGTATTATTATTAAGGTGGCTTGTTCCATCAAATCATTTGGAAATAAATCATTTCGGAAATTTTATTAATTTTTCATTTTACTTGTTGCGTATATAACATATATAAATATGGCCACCTGGTACAATTATACAAGTTAACTCCATTACTCAGCTGATTTGATTCCAACGTGTCAATTTGAATGTGACAAATTTTGTTTTTAAAAGTGGACTAGCAGGAAAATTAAGTGCACATTGATTTTGAAATTATTCTTTATTATATGTAATTCCGTATTAAATTTACTCCATTTGCTTATTGGGAAACTTTGAAGCACTAAATCTGTTTTCATAAAATAATTCCCGATTTCTAGCATATTCATTTATGTTATTCCTAGTTTTATCCACAACAGTGGTCTATAATGTGAGTAAAGATTGGAGAGGTTCGTTCGTTTTTTAGTGGGTTTTCAATGAAATTGACTGCATCTCCAAAACGGTTTTATATAGGGTCTGTTCCAGTACTTTTTTAATAGTAAAACTAGTAAAAGAGAAACATTTCAAAATCGCTCTCAAAGTACAAAATAATTTGAAATGTTCGGAAACGCAAATCTGGTAAATATACCAAAATTAGATGGCAATACTTCAAAAACAACATAACAGCCAATCAGAAATTGGCATTCCTGTTTACCATTTTTACTCGGCCAAATTTTTCGAGTAAAAAGTTTACAAAGAGAACGCCATTTTGTTTTATGCTCTTTTAAATTTTATTCAATGTTTTACCAGTTTTGTAGGTTCAGGAACGGTTTTCGAGTAAAATGTTGCAAAACTTGTTAAATTAGTAGATTCTTTTAGGTTCTGGACCGGAACTAAATGATACCCATTTTATATTTACCGGTTCCGTAGAACCGGGTATAACCGAGTACCCGAACTTCTGGGTCAAATAACCGGGTAACCGGGTACGTCCCCCAATAAAAAATTTATCCCCATAATTGGGGTAAAAGTACCTACCTCTGGAAGAAATGTCAGAAAAATCTGATCGTTTTTACTAATGTAGAGTTAAGCCAATGCTGGGAATTGCGAGTTATTCCATGAAGAAAGATTTGCTTTAACAAATTTTCCCAGCAGGCAGATTGAGAAAATTGAATAGGGGAGCACATTTAATAAATAACAATTTCAATTTGTTGGGTGATTTTTAAAAGCGTAATTTGTCAAATTCATTTTGACACTAGTATAACGTTGGAATCAAATAGCTGTTACCTTTTATAATTGTACCATGAACTGTACCATGGATTTTGTCAAACCTGTTGAAAATCGAGTTTCGTCTTTACTGAATAATGCAACACTGTGCGGTTCTCGTGCAGTCGCCATGTCATCTCATTCGTAAATATTTCGTAATCTACTTTGAGTTATTCTTTATCGGTCATTTTGTATTCTCTCCCCATTTCCTTAGCAAGAGGAACGTTTTTCAATTCTTCCTGATTGCGCCATCTCTGTTTCTGTTGAGTGAAGAGAAACAGAAACCCAATCGTAAACAATTGTTCTATACTAGAACTGTTTTTGTAAGGGAGGACACACATACAAAATGTCTTCTTCGTTGCGGGGCATACATATTAACCTATTCAACGAGAATTTTCTCAATGAATCAGAACAGGATGCTAATTCAGCACTCACAGAATTGGACAAAGGATTACGTTCTAAACTCGGTGTCCAATGTGAGGCTATTGTACGATTTCCACGTCTCTTTGAAAAGTATCCCTTCCCAATACTTATCAATTCGTCTTTTCTGAAACTGGCCGAATTCTTTCTGAATGGCTCCAATTTATTACGTTTTTGGGTGCTACGAGTGTGCCAACAGAGCGAGAATCATTTGGATAAGATATTAAGCATTGATGCTTTTGTAAAGAGAATATTTATGGTCATACACTCAAATGATCCAGTTGCCCGGGCTTTGACTCTGCGAACATTGGGCGCAGTTTCGCGTGTAATACCTGAAAAGCAACAGGTCCACCATGCAATTCGTAGGGCATTGGATAGTCACGACACAGTGGAAGTGGAGGCGGCTATTTACGCCAGTAGCCAATTTGCCTCTCAATCCAGGTCCTTTGCAATAAGCATGTGCGCCAAAATTTCCGATATGATAGAGTCTCTGCAAATTCCGGTGCCAATGAAGCTGCAATTAATACCTATTTTAAGACACATGCATCATGACGCTAATACGGCAGCACTGGTGAAAAAATTATGTTTGAATTTACTTCCAAAATATCCGGCAGAAAGTTTTGTCGTCGCGATTTTTGCTTCGTTGACCGAACTATCGGCAAGAACATTGACTGGTGTACCGGACCAGGTTAGTCTATTGTTGGAAGCAATCAGCAATGATCAGCGTAAACCAGTGCGAGCACAGGCATTGAAATCCCTAAATAAACTGGCTGAAAAACAATGTGTCCATGCTTGGCCCAAATCGGCAATACACGATCTCATCTGCAAAGCATATGCCTGCACTGACTCAGCGGAGCAGTATTTATTTCTTGGTGTTATTTTAAAGTTAAGTGACTGTCCGTTAACGTGTAACATACTTCTGGATGAAAATGTGGAACACCCATCTGTATTAGATTTGTGTAAAAATTGCCTATGTCTCAAGGATTATACCACTGCCAGTCAAGCAATTACTGTTCTAGCTTCCTTGGTTTCGTATGCGAACATATGTAATAAGGCCAACTACGTTGATACCATTATGGAGATGATTAATTTACACTCGCAGAGTCTAATATGGTGTACAATAAAGGATGCAAAGCATTCCAGTGATTTGAGGAAGATTTTAGCTTGTGGCATTAAAGTTTCTTCCGTTAGGACTGAATTTGGAATCGAATTGGTAACCACATTGGCTAAACTCTTGAACGATAATGTAGAATATCCTTCGGCAAATGAGAAGGCAATGTGTGAAGCATTAGGATCATTGTGTTCTTACTTTCAATTGAGGAAATTTGCCCCGCCAGCAGCAGTGGCCGATGGAGAGGAAATGGAAACGGATCAAACTAAAGAACAAAAGGTAGGTTTCAATGTACTTTTTTTGCTATTATAATAATAAATTTGGCTTTGCTTCTATGTTAGAATCATAGCAACTACACGTATTATCTTCTTCACCTTATTCCAGACAAATCCAGTGCTTAAGAATCTGTTATTGATTATGCGCAAATTGACAACAACAATTGAACGCGTGTCCCCCGAAGAGCCATCGCATACGGTGGAAATTCTCTCAGCAGTAGCACTACAAGCCATGATGGGATGTTTTATACCAACAAAAGTAATGAACACCTTCGATGCTATCGTTAATAAGAGTAACCAATGGACTCAGTACAGAATAGCACGTTCTGCCAGTCGATACGGTCAGCACTATCTGGCAGCGCATATTTATTTGAAATTATCAAGAAATACAGTTGTGGACAAAATGCATTTCTTCTTGACGGGATTGGCACAACTAGCCCACGCAGAATGTATACTCAACTATAGCGTATCTTATGAATTTATGCAAGAGAACTATGAATTGTGTGAAAATTTTATTGTTCGAAGTGTGCCAATGGAACAATCAATGCCACTAATGCAACGCTTAGAAATGGCTATCAATTTATATTGGCAAGCATTGGCTAGTTTAAGGGCAAGCTCCTCACCATCCCACCCAGCAGTTACATTTCAACTAGAGTTCCTGAAACTTCGAGCCCAGTTTTTGCAAACTCTTCATTCAGCGGTAACAATTAAAAATGCCCAGATCATTGTACCTCCCCCGGCTATAGCTGGAAGTTTGGCCCAAAATTCCAGGGATTATTTGCAAAAATTCGGCCACGTAACAAATCAGTTGAGAAAATTGGTTAAAGAACTGAAAACCTGTGAAGAGGCATTTGGTCGTCTCTATAAATCCACTTTCGATGCCGATCCTCTAACTCTGGAATTTTTGGAAATCATTCAACATCAGTGCGTTAAATTTGCTCACATTGTCGAAACTATATGTTTTGTTACACCCTCCGAACCGCCCGATTTTCAGACTGTCGGTAAATGTCCCGAAACCATGTATTTGGTGAATTCTTGTCGTCGTATGGAAGAGCTAAGTAGATCGATACCAAAAGAGCCATCCAACAACAAGACCATCAACAACTTCCACTTGGATATAATTTTGGCAGAAATCGAAATTATAACAAAAACGCCGCTGTGTTTGCCGCGTTATTTCTTCCAGGTATTACAATCGACACAAATTAAATTATCCGTCATACCACCACCCAGGAGTGACGGTAAACCGGTAAATGTGCAGGCCGGTAGTAATTTGGTAATAAAAGTTGAGGGTGTTATTCTACATTATGGTAAGCGACCATCGCTGTTTAGAAGCGTTGATGCAGTTCAGTTGAGTTTAATGTCCAGGCTGGTGCAGACCCCACGGCCGCCCGGAGGGGAAGCAATGAAAATGCAAAATGATACGGTTACGCTAACACAAGTCGTCAAGCCTCAACGTGACTTTCTTTCGGGAAATTTCTTGGTACCCATATCGACTGGTGGACAATGGCAGGTAACATTGGAGACATATGTTATAGATGAGAATGGCATCACGTGGTGTACCGGGCCAAAAAATACAATGTTAGTTCGAGTATTGGATGATCCAACGAAACAGCAGCAAACAGCTGCTCCTTCTGCGCAAACACGGCGTTTTTAAGATAAATGATTGGTATCCTCAGGATGTTTCCAATGGGTTGGTTGGCTGGTTCGTACTAACGTTTAAGTCCGAATAAAACATTTCTTGTTATTCAACAACAACAAATAAACTATATCATATGAACTTTATTTTTGGAATGGATAGTAGTCCAATCCCGAATTGTAATTATATTTTGGTTTTTGTTTTTTCTTTGCTATTTCAATCATCTCTTGAACATCTTTGCGGTATGCGGGTGGCAGCATTTCCTCGTGCAGGGTGCATTCATATTTTTCCGGTTCCTCCATTTTGTAAACATTGCGTCGTATTATGTCTACATCACGACCAAACTCTTCCTTCAAATCGGATATTTTACCAGGAGCAGCATCGAAATTTATTGCAAAATATGTACCTTCCCGATGGACGAGACCTTGTTCACTTATTTTATAGGGCAAAGCCCTGGAGCCTAAATTTTGTAAACGCCGTATAATGCCTCCCTTGTCGAGAATGGATTCTGCGGTTCTTTTCAATGCCGACACCAGTTCAGGCTAAAACATGACATAGACTAATGCATTATTACTAATTTTAACACGTAGCTTAGGTTCTACTCACTCGGGACATCTGCCTTAAGACCAAAAATAACTCATATGATGGCATTTTAATACAAATTTATTATTAATTTTTATTTAATTATGTAAAATACGCTACTAGCGTGAATTTCTTCAAGCAATAGAAATTCAATTCGCCTTGTTAACAGCTGTTCGGTAAATGTAAACCATGGCGAATTTATGTGACAATCTATAATAAGGCGAATTCAAGGAATATTTAGTAAGGTAGCAGCATTGGCTCAGCTGTTGGTGCAAAAAAAAAAATGTAATGTAAAACCAAAAAAATATAAATAAAAAAATCTCCGAATTTTGAAGAGCTTGCTCTTATAAAAGTTAGTAATATAGTAATATAATTTAGATACTGATTCATTCCACAAACCATACATGTCTTCTCTACGGAATGTTGGGTTTATCCAAAGTAGCCCTGAGCAAGCATGGGAACTGGTGCCCTTGTTTACATTTACCAATATGTTCGTTCTCTACGTTCTCTTTTGCCAAAACAAACAGATTGACAAGATTTTTTACACAATTTCTTGTAGAAAATGTTAATAAAAGTATTGTCAAACAAGCTTTTCGAAATTCGGAGATTTTCATTTATAATTTTGCTTTTTAATTTTTTAGTTCAACATTACAACAACATTTTTGACATTTATTTGCACCAACAGCAGGGCCGATGCGGCTACCTTATTAAATATACCTTGATATCTACCTTGCAACAACCGATGTTTGTTGTAGAAATTCGCCGATGCGGCTACCTTGTACACTAATGCACAAAATAGTACGATAGCGGTGATTGCCAAACACGTTTTCTCTTTGTCTCTCTTTGTGTCAGTCATTTTTGTTGATGATCTCTCAGTTACGCTCTCACACACTTACTCTTAATTTAGTTCTGTTCAACTCTGCTTGTATATCAACCTTGATATGGAGGTTTCTCATTTACTCTCCGAGCATTTTCTCTCTGCACACCTCTAATCCAAAGTCAATTGCATAGCGTATATGTCAAATATAATTCACTGAATTTTTGTAGCGCCTAAAAGTATGCTCATAATTTCCCAAAGTAACATGTAGACACAAAGCAAACAATCTGACAACACATCTGCATTTTTCTGTTTTTGTCGAACTGGAATTTCTTCAGTTTTCCCAATTGGAGTACTAGGCAAACAGAATCGCGTAGCTGCTATATTTTGATACATGGTCAATTTCAAATGGTCATAACTCGGTGATGAATTGGGATATTTTCACTATTGAATACTACAGATCGTGGGGAAACTTTTTAAAGGATAATGATTAAAAGTTCCTATATAATAGCTATTATTTTTTCAAATATTAATCGAGGATTTTTTAAAAACAATTTTTTGAAATACCAAAAGAGTGGGGATTATTTACTTAAAGAGTGGGCCAATCTTCACGAAATTTTGCATGTAAGATAGGTTCTGCCCAATGAAGACCCCTATTGTTTTTGGCAAATAGTGAATCGACCAAATACTTAATTTTTGTCGGTTTTTTGGTCGCTCCAGAGGCCACAATTATGGCCCAAACATCGCGTTTTCATATGGAGAAGGGGATCGGGCCAGAGAATAAACATGCGTGTTTTTATAAAGATCGGTAAATATTTAGCGGGTCAAATGGACCCTGACTTTTGTGTGAAAATGACAAAATTTATATTCTATAGCGTATATATTTAGTCCTGAAGGACATATACCCGAGAAGTTGATAGTACAACCAAGAGGATTGGCTGGCCTTTAAATTGATACCAATTATATTGTCGTATGTACTCGGATGTGGGAGTTACACGTAAATATTTACAGGTGCTTACATATTCAGATATTATTTAGTAAACCATTACCACTCACTCTTGAGGGCGGAAATATAGCACCGATCGCTTTGAAATGTTCCATGAGGTTCCAGTTATGGTCAAGGATAACGCCTATAATTTTCGGTGATAATCAGATAATGATTTTTGGATGAAGTGGACAGAAATCTTATTTTTTTCCGAGTCGATCTATAGGCCATAATTCAAAGCCGAACATAACAACACAACCCACGGTGACATCTAATCGGGTAAGTTAGAGTTCCGTGGTAGTTGTGTAGGGTATCGTATGGTCGGCCCCGCCCGACTGTACTGCTCCGCTCACTGGTTTTAATATGTTAAAATGCCTAAAGAACTTGGATTTTAAGGAATATGTTATCAAAGACTAATATGAGGTACTTGAAGAGTTTGCCCTGTAGACCACCCTTCTTAGGATTTAATGTAGGTTTGGAAAAATATTACGTTTTCCAAAGTTTGGATCAAAACAGACATTCGATTATGTTGTTTTGAATTAACAAATTTTTAAAATGTTGAAACTTTGTGAGTGAACAGATGGGACCCCACTTTAGATACAATGTAGGCTAGGTAAAAATATTCCGATGAGAAAAGCTTGGATGTAAATAGGATATTCCGTTCGATTTCTTATGAGATTTAAAAGTTTTCAAAATGTTGACCCTTCATGGGGGGAGGTATTAGAATGAATAGACCGATAAGTCCCATATTCCAAAAGGCATGATTAAAATATTATCATGTGCAAAGTTTGGTTTGAATATAAAATGCATTTTCGGCAAAATTTCGACCATTTTGTGGGGAATTACCCGAACGGACATTTGTAAATTGAATGCAAATTGTCCCAAACGCTTTTGATTCAAAGTAACATGGTGTCTAAAATTCAATATTTCGATGTGAGATTTGAAAAAAGCACTGACGCCCCTTTGGCTTCATACATTTTTATAAATAGAAAAAAATCTAAATTTTATATAATACACAATTTTCATATATTTTCATTGAATATGAACATCTATTTATTGTCGCAAAAATTCATACATATATATTCATATATTTCAAATGCGAAATAATTTTTTTTCGTTGAAAATTTTAATGACTGTTTTTGTTGTTTTGAGTGAGGCAAAGGTGTTTTGTTTTTTTAATATTCTATTTAAAAATCTAATTGTTATACAATAAAGGTTAAATATTATTTAATGGCACATATACATATAATAGCTAAAATTGCTATACATATGTATACTAACTATATCATTCGAACAGACCTACATATGTTCGTTCATTCGATTGTCATGTGAGGTGATAAACTTGTTTTTGTTGAATGTGTAGATTGTTGTTTGGACCTTATAATCGTAATTGATTATCGGGAATTTTATTGGGGATCTTAGATTATTTCAAGATGGAATTATTGAAAAATGAAATAATAAAATTGGTGTTTTTCCCTATTGAAACTCAACGAAGAAAAAAAAAACAAATTATTGTAAAAAATATAATTAACGTTTATATATCTTCTATTCATTTATACTCTTCATCTTAGCGTACATGATGATAAAAAATAAAGGGAATTATTTTTTGTTTAGTTTTAATGTCTTTAAATGTGGATTGATTATTAATAAGTAATAAAATAAAACAGGAATGTCGTAGATCATTCGGAATGATGTCTAGTTTTAGCGGTAATAAAACAAACAGATCCGAGATGTGGATTTTTCTTTTGTGTTGTGTTTCATATATGGAAGATGATTGTTGTTATCCGTTTACATGTGTCTGGTGTTGCCGAAATTAATGCCAGATTGATTGGCGCCTTTGTTGGAACCGTATTGTAGGGAAATAACATTTTGGCCAGCACGCAATTGTTCTTCGGTGAAATTGCGCACATTTTTGTCTGCTTCCTTGGGACCAATTGAGGGTTTGCCAAAGTTGTGAGCCTGCAAAAATAAATATGCGTTAGGTATATTGAAACAAACATTTCATTGTTCATACAACTCACCTTACGACCCAACGATTGGATGCAAATAACAACTGAGTTGAGATTTTGTCTTTCCCAGAGATCTACACTTTGGAAAGTTTCCTGGGTGGGTACACCAAAGTTTTTGGCACATTCCAAAAAGGCTGCAAAACAGAATATCGAGAATTGGTTATTTGTGAACTGTAAATCAAATGCAAATGGCAAAACATACCTGAGATATTTTCCATGCATTTGAAAGCCATTTTACTTTCGTTGATCTTTTTGATGGAACCGGGCTGTAAGCAATTTGCCAATTTGCACAAGATAACACCATCCTTTAAGACTTCAAAGAAATTATCCATATCACCGGAAGTGTTAATGGGCTCATCGGTAATAACTTTGATCCATTCTAGGCATTCTTGAGCTAATTCTTCGCTGTATTTGGAATTGATCTGTAATTGTAAAGAGAAATAATACATTAGCAATAATGTCGAGGCCAAAGAAATGAGAATATGGAAAAAAATACTTTGGATTTGTAAGACATTTTGTTGAAGTGCAATACTACTGACTGAACTGTTCCAATGCAAATGCAAACTGAGAAAAAAAAAAGAAATCAAAATGTTCAATATTCCTTTCTTTATAGTATTTGCAAAAATTCTCTTATCAACATCTTTTCTTAACAACACAATAACTCTTCAAGATAAGATAAATGCTCTAATTTCGAAAAATGACTATTTTCTATTGTTTATTTTTTGTAACACCTCAAATATATATATGGGGAAAGTGAATTTATTTTATGTTCTTCGATTAAATTGGTTAATAGTCTTGAATATAAAATGTATTATTTATTATATATACCAGAAGATTAATAAAGATTTGAGTTGTATGTGTGTTTTTCTGTTTGTTAAACTTTTAACCCAGTTAACGCCAGAGATTTTTTTCTTCAAAATTATAAATTTAATTTTACAATTTAGTTTTAGCAATAAGCTAGGAGATTATGGAACAAGATTCAAAAATAAAATAAAATCATTTATAGAAATTCACTTAAATAACGGTTGTTTTCTAGAAGTGGTATTGCCATTTTTTTGTGTTCTTTTAAAAGGACAGTGGCTCTAAGTGCGTTAAAAAGATGGCAATATTAAATATGAAGCTTTGCACATATATTGTAATTCCTTTTAGGATGTTTGGTATTGCAAATTGGATATATCGGTCCATGTTTTGGTATATCACCCATAAAAGTTATCCGCAAAATTCGATATTTTGGCAATGGTTTCAATCAAGGTTTCAAATCAAATGACTGTAATTTTATATTTGGGTTTATTGCCGGTTAGGAAATCAAAATTGTGTTCTAATTGATTAGGAAATCTGTTTGCCAAAAATTCATCAATATTGGTCCACATTTCAAGATAGCTACCCTCTATATGGAGGTAATTCCCAAATTTTTGGAACAGTTTTTCAACCGAAATATAATTTGATATTTTGGGATCTAATTGAAAGTCAAATCTTTCTAAAAAATTATAGGTAAAGGTTTTGCTATGGGGAATTTTCGCAATTTTTTTTCACTCTTAAAAATGCCTACATAAAGTTCGACCCGGCCGCAGTTAACGAATTTGTTTTTATACCCTTCACCACACAGTGTTACATGGTGTTATATCTTCGTGCATAACAGGCATAAGGAAATGAGAACCATGGGTCTGGTTCCTTTTGAGAATATGCATAGAATCAGTTTTTGAGTCGATTTATACATCCCCGTCTGTTCGTTTGTAATTGTAAAAAAGTACAGGTCGTATTTATGATCCGATTTGAATTTTTTTGAAATCGGGCCAGATTTAGATATAACTCCCAAATATATTTTCGTCCGAGTTTATGTTAATGTTGCACTAAACTCACAGGGTTTGTCCGATTGAGACAAAATTTTGCATATCGTAATGAAGTAAGTCCTGTGTGTGTTTTTTTTTTTTTTTTGAAATCGGTCCAGATTTAAATATAGCTCCCATATATATTTTCGCCCGATTTTGTGTTAATGGTGCAACAACTCCCAATATTTGGCCGATTGGGACAAACATTTTGCGTAGAGTACTGAAGTAAGTCCATTTTAATGTCCGTGATGTTTTGGTAAAATCGGTTAAGTTTTACATATACCTCCCATACATAATTTTGTTGAATTTCATGCAAATGTTACACCAAAAATCCAAGTCTGGTTGATATGCAATTTTTCATAGATATCAGAATGGTACGTTTATCTTTTTTATTGGTCCAAATATTTAAGTAGATCACAAATTTATTTCGCCCGATTCTATTTCAATGGTCTTCCAAAGATGCTATGCTCTTTTATCTACACATTATCATCTCTTGTATGTACCCAAAGTGGCAAAGGATATCATATAGTCGGCTCCGTCCGACTTTTGATCTTTCCGTGCTGGATAAAACCTAGTTTAGGGTAGATACCACCACCCATGAAGAAAATTATTTATTTAATCATTCGTCACTAACATCTTATCATCTCTAATTTTAATATATTTTTTTTGTAAAATATTGTTAATTGATTAGGAACAAACTTATGACAAATTATTGGGTACTATGAAAAAAAAAATAAATAAAAAAACTAGCAATTAACACTTGTGTAATCCAATTTTATTTGTCAAGAAATAGTGTATTCATAATTTCCTATTACTGAATATGATCTCATATTACCAATGAAACCATGCTTTTTATTGTTGTTGTTGGCAACATATGGCTACTAATGAGTACAATTCAAAAAATAAAATATTTTATACATAGGCAAGAAGGGGGTAAGATGACTTTTGTTGGACTTGTAGCGGTGGCTTATCGGTCGAATAGAAAAAAAAAATTCGGTCTGCATGGAATGGCAAAAAATAATTTGGTTTTGTCTTATCGCGCGAAATGATTAATTTGACTAAATTATATTAGGGTGGGCAAAAAAATAAATAAAAAATAAATTCCAGAAACTTAGGCTATGTATTTTTTTGTGAGCAGTTACAAATTAATAAATTTAAATAAGACATGTACTTTAGAACTTTTTGCACAGTTTACCCACTTTATGAGGATTTATTTAAAAAATATGCAATGGGATTTACAATTGAAACCCACTGGGTTAACTAAATCCAGTACAATGTAAACATACTATAAGGCTTTGTATCATAAATGAATTTAAAAATAAATTGTCTGTTCCCGTACTGCAAGAATCTACTATTTTTTACCAAAAATAAAAAAAAATGCCATCATAAAATATATGTTTCTAGACAGATTTTTGAACGTAAATGTGTTTTCAGAAATATACAAACAAACAAAAATGTTATTGATAAATTTGTAGTTTTCTCAATTTTTATCAAATTATATTAGCAATTTTCATCAGCATTTGCATTTAATTGGGTTGAGGATCACACATAATATTTATTAGGTATATTTATTAATATTAATTAATAATAGTGCAATAATAGACAATAATAGTTTTACTGATTCATATACTTATATATTTTTTTGGTGTTGTCATGAGTCATAGATGCGAAAACCACATTTCACACACAGTAATGAAATCATTGGTTATTTTTTATTTTCAAGTTTCAAAAATGTTAACGTATTTATATCAAAAATACAAAAAACAAATCAAGGTTTCTCCTTATCGCACTTACAAACAACAAAACAAACACGACAATGTGTGTTCCAAAAAAGTTGTGATAAAAATTCATAAATAAAAAAAGTTGTTTAGTTATGGGAAAAAAATATGTTTCGTGTTGACAACAACTGATAAAGGTGTTTGTAATGGAATATTTCTTTCTTTACTTTGTTGGTGTCTTTTGTGTTGTTTTTTTGGTACTTTAATGTAATTAAAAAAAAAAAAAAAAAAAAAAACAAGGTCATATAAGTAGCATGTTCTAAGCAAATTTTTTATTTTATATATTTGAATGAGAATTTTATACATTTATTATAGCCTTCAAGTTCTGTAATTAGAATAAATTTAATTAAATTAGAACTTCTAGAAGAATTCACCAAACCGCAATTGTAATAACACAAATTACAATCATGTCCTAAGCTTTTTTTATACATTGGAATGAGAACTTTACAAATTTAGCATACACTTCAACTTTATTAATTTAATTTATTTTAATTAATTTAAAACTTCTTACACAAAAAATATTGCGTGAATACATTGAGCAAGAACTGTTATTTGGATAATTAATCTAATGGAATGGCAAGTTATCCGCAAGGATAACTATATCATCATCATATGATGATATAGACCAATATATACCCAACTGTAACTATACATCCGAGAGCGTGAATTATCAGAATTCTATGTATATCATTGTATTTTTTTATTTATTATAAATTACATATGCAATTTATTTGTAACCTTCTAAGTGAATAACTTAAAAAAAATGTAATAAATACAATTCGATTTAAATACGGAATGTAAAAAGTATACAAAACAAACAGACACAAAAAAAATTGTACGTGATATGCAAATGTTATTAATCTCAATACAATTAAAAACGAATATTAAAAAGTGAGAATAAAATAAAAGCTGTAGTATTTGTTATCATCTCAAGAAATGTATGTATGTGACCCAATTCAGAAATAATTTTATTGTTGGAATATTTCTCGAAGATGGTGTTTATTTGTATTAAAAAAAATAATAATAATAAAACCTATTTGAAATTAGTTGAGTCAATATCACGTAGTGGCAGTACTTACGTTTGGTATCGAGAAATGACTCGGCTCTTGAAAATCAACACAATAATCAAATTAATTATTAAGTAACAGGGCATTCAAGACCTAAAATCAGATGGAAAATTGGATTGAAGTACCGAAAATTGTTTACGGGGGCTATACCAAAACGGGGGATCCAAAATATCAAATTAGAAGCCAATTGGTTGTAAAATTGGGGGTACTGTTATATAGGTTCTACTCTGAAACTTGAACCAATATTGCTAATTTTGGTAGGGAAATTTTCTACCCAATAGGAATCCAAAATTTAAAATGACAGCCAAAAGTGGACACACATTGACAATTTTCAAATTAGGTTGAAAAAAACATGCACATAATTCTCAAATTGCCGACTATTGTGGTGTACCGTTACATTCAAGGCTATATCAAAACGTGGACGATATGTCACAAATTCAATAACCAAACATAGTAGCAATGTATATGCAAAATAGTAGCAATGTATGTGCAAAATTTCTAAGATTTCAAAACGCAAACAAGTTTAAATCGACATATTATTTATTTTGATCAATAATGGTGTGCTCGATAAATATTTCGAGATGTTGAAAACGGAATGACAAATTTAATATACACTCCACCTTAGTTCTGGAATCGATTTTGGATGTATGACATAGGTTCCCACTTATATATGGTCAGTTCCCTTACTATAAGAATCTACTAGATTTTACTATTTTCTTCGATAACATATGGTCTGTTCCCGTACTGC